GGAATACTAGGTCCCAATCATGGGAGTGCTCATTTACGAATTTACGTATCATGGCCCCCAAAGTTCCATTAAACTTCTCCACCATGCCATTTGTTTGATGGTGGTAAGGAGTGGCAACCAAGTGATTTACCCCATGAGCTTCCCAAAGGTTTTCCATAGTTCCTGCCAGGAAATTAGTCCCTGCATCTATGAGGATGTCGGAGGGCCAACCTACCCTAGCAAAAATGTCTGCTAGTGCCTGGCACACACTTTTAGCCCTGGTGTTGCTTAGAGCTACTGCTTCCGGCCATCGGGTGGCAAAATCCATGAAAGTCAGTATGTACTGCTTTCCTCTGGGTGTCTTTTTTGGAAAAGGACCCAGAATATCCACAGCTACTCGCTGAAATGGAACTTCAATGATGGGGAGTGGCTGGAGAGGGGCTTTGGGGTTTTCCCACTCTTTGGCATACTTCACAAGACCGGACATAGGTAGAAACATCCTTGCCCATTCCCTCCCAGTGGAATGACCCCCCCGAAACGGTCTTTGGTCCTGTTCACCCTAGCATGGCCACTAGGGTGATCGTGGGCTAAGCTCAAGAGCTTGGCCCCGTATTCAGTTGGAACTACCAACTGTCTCTGAGGATGCCAGTCTTCCTGGTGTCCACCAGAAAGAGTTTCCTTGTATAAAAGTCCTCTTTCTACAACAAACCTGGATCTATTAGAAGAGCTGAGAGGCGGTGGGTTGCTCCGTGCCGCCGTCCAAGCTCTCTGGAGGCTTTCATCTGCTTCCTGTTCAGTCTGGAACTGTTCCCTTGATGCTGGAGACATCAGTTCCTCATTGGATTGTGGACCTATGCTTGGTCCTTCTGGAAGCGATGTAGGGGATGGGGCTGTTTCCGTTGACTGTGAACCGCTCTCCGCTGGGACACTATGTTGGGGTTCAGGCTCTGGCTGAGCCTCTTGTGTAGGGTTATGGGCTGCTGCTGGTTCAGGTTCGGTGGGGCCCGCTGGTGTTGAGGTTGCAAGTACTGGATTCAGTGCTGGCAATGGGTCTGGTGTTGATTGTTCGGCTGGTTCCGGTTCTGGGACTGGTTCTGTCTGGGTCTCTGGGACTGGATCCACTACTGCTGTTGCAGATATTGGCCTGGGGTCCGGGTCCTGATAGAAGTTTCTGGAACAGAGCTAGGCCTCACGGCTTGTTTAGCCTGGCTGCGGGTGACCATTCCAACCCTCTTGGCCCGCTTCACGTGATTGGCCAAGTCTTCCCCCAACAGCATGGGGATAGGATAATCATCATAGACTGCAAAAGTCCACGTTCCTGACCAGCCCTGGTACTGGACAGGCAACTTGGCTGTAGGCAAATCGAAAGAGTTGGACTTGAAGGGTTGAATCATCACTTGGATCTCTGGGTTGATTAAATTGGGGTCCACTAAGGAAGCATGGATAGCTGACACTTGTGCTCCGGTGTCCCTCCATGCGGTCACCTTCTTCCTGCCCACACTCAGTTTCCCTGCTCCAAGGGTATCTGGGAGGTATCTGGGCCTGCAGACCTCTGGTGTGATTCCGGTGCAATGAACTGTAATCTGTTGGGGTTCTTGGGGCAGTTGGCCTTTACATGCCCCAGCTCGTTACATTTAAAACATCGTCCAGCTGACGGGTCACTGGGGCGAGGTGGTTTGCTGGAGAAGGGGGTGGTGGGAAGATAAGGTGTCTGGAGGGTTCTTTGGGAGGTAGGTGGGGCCTTGGGCAGCCCCCGGTAATAGGGTGTGGTCTGGGGTTGTCCCTTCTGGTCTCCGCTCCAACTGCGACCAGTTTTCTTCTTCTTCTCTGCCACCTCCACCCATCTGGCTCCAATCTCTCCTGCCTCGATTACAGTTTTGGGCTTCCCATCTAGGATGTATCTTTCTATTTCCTCAGGAACCCCCTCTAAGAATTGTTCCATTTGCATTAGGAAGGGCAAATTTACTGGAGATTCAACACTTGCTCCTGATATCCAGGCATCCCAATGTTTCACAATGTGGTAGGCATGTCGGGTAAATGACACGTCTGGTTTCCACCTTAGGGCTCTGAACCTCCGACGAGAATGCTCGGGTGTTATCCCCATTCTGACTCTCACCTTGGATTTAAACAGTTCATACTTGTTCATGTGTTCTGCAGGCATTTCAGCCGCCACCTCAGCTAAGAGTCCACTGAGCTGCGGCCTCAGCTCTACCATGTATTGGTCTATAGAGATGCTGTACCCAAGGCAGGCCCTTTCGAAGTTTTCTAAGAAGGCCTCAGTATCATCGCCTGCCTTGTAGGTGGGGAACTTTCTGGGATGGAAAGTGGTACCTGGAGAAGGATTGCTAGGGTTTGTTGGTATATTCTGCTGAGCCTTTACCTTCTCCATCTCCAGTGCATGCTTCCTCTCTTTTTCCTTCTCCTCCTCCACATGCTTCCTTGCCTCTATTTCCCTCCTGTGGGCAGCGTCCTGTACCTCCTTCTCCAGCCGCATGAGTTCTATCTGTCTTTCATGTTCCTTTTGTTTTTCCTCAGCCTGAAATCTGGCTAATTCCAGCTCTTGTTGAGCCGTGGATTCTGTCATCCTAACCTCTCTGTTTTTAACTAACTTTACACCCGAGGTTTAGAAATAAACCAACAAAACTTGGCTGTAAAATTTTGCTGTGCTGGAATAGGATACCTATTCTCTGATAGTGATTGTCAGCCTACAGAAAAAGACAATTCCCTTTGTCTCTGCTCTGGCCCCAAATCAAAGCAAAAAACCTCCAACTACTTGGAAACCTGCTTACCAGCAGCCTAAAGGAAAAAAAATTCCTTTTCAAACCGGTGCTTCTTGTAAAAAAAATCAAAATCATAAAAAAAACCTCTTGCCACTTTTGTCTCCAGGCAAATGGGTAGAACACACACACACACACACACACACACCGTTTACTTTTAGGGAAAAAAAAACACCTCTGATTTGGAAGACTGTGAATTTCCCTGCAGGATTTAAGTACCCTGCCTCCAGGCAAAAAAACCCTGCAATTCACAAAGATAATCCCCATTTGTCTCTGCTCTGGCCTCAAAGCAGAGAAAAAACTAGCTGCTTTCAGTTGGACCTCCTTTCCAGCAGCCCCAAAGGAAAAAAATTTTTTTTCCTTTTTAAAATCTGTATTTCTAGTTCAAAAAATCTCAAATTGATCTCAAAATGATTTCAGGTTAATCCCACCACTCTGCCACCATGTCAAGGTTCCTCCCCCACTCTGAACTCTAGGGTACAGATGTGGGGACCTGCATGAAAACCTCCTAAGCTTACTTTCACCAGCTTAGATTAAAACTTCCCCAAGGTACAAATTAATTTTATCCTTTGTCCCTGGATCTCCACTGCCACCACCAAACTCTAATTGGGTTTACTGGGAAACGTAGTTTGGACACGTCTTTCCCCTCCCAAAATCCTCCCAACCCTTGCACCCCACTTCCTGGGAAAGGTTTGGTAAAAATCCTCACCAATTTGCATAGGTGACCACAGACCCAAACCCTTGGATCTGAGAACAATGAAAAAGCATTCAGTTTTCTTACAAGAAGACTTTTAATAGAAGTAAAGAAATCCCCTCTGTGAAATCAGGATGGTAGATACCTTACAGGGTAATTAGATTCAAAACATAGAGATTCCCTCTAGGCAAAACCTTAAGTAACAAAAAAGACACACAGACAGGAACAGTCATTCTATTCAGCACAGTTCTTTTCTCAGCCATTTAAAGAAATCGTAATCTAACACATACCTAGCTAGATTACTTACTAAAGTTCTAAGACTCCATTCCTGTTCTATCCCCGGCAAAAGCAGCATACAGACAGACACAGACCCTTTGTTTCTCTCCCTCCTCCCAGCTTTTGAAAGTATCTTGTCTCCGCATTGGTCATTTTGGTCAGGTGCCAGCCAGGTTACCTTTAGCTTCTTAACCCTTTACAGATGAGAGGATTTTTTCCTCTGGCCAGGAGGGATTTTAAAGGGGTTTACCCTTCCCTTTATATTTATGACAGCTTTTTATTGGTTTTTACATGCATACTGTATGTTAACGGACAAAGAAAACACAAAATAAAATTTGGGGTAATATATTTGTCAGACCAGAAATAAAAAGGTTCACCTCTGGGAGTGAATATCAGAGGGGTAGCCGTGTTAGTCTGTATCCACAGAAACAACGAGGAGTCCGGTGGCACCTTAAAGACTAACAGATTTATTTGGGCATAAGCTTTTGTGGGTAAGAAACCCACTTCTTCAGATGCATGGAGTGAAAATTACAGATACAGGCATAAATATAAATTGGCACATGAAGAGAAGGGAGGTACTTTACAAGTGGAGAACCAATGTTGAAGGCCAATTTTAGCCACCTCTGTGCAGCCGGTGGCGTGTGCTTCCCAATGCCATGCTGGATCCTTCACATTTATTTGACAAATAAAATGTGCAGAATTTTGCTGAATTTTAAAATATTGTGTGCAGAATTTTTAATTTTTTGGTGCAGAATGCTCTCAGGAGTAAATATTGAATTAGCCTCTTTCATTTTGCTCCATTTGCCTATTATTTCTGTCCTCTAACTTTTTTTGGTTTTTTTGGTCTTTATTTGGTGGAAAGGTCGGGGGACACTCGAGGGAGGTGCGTGGGGATGGCAGGCGGGGATGGGGAAGAGACCCAGACCCAAACATTGGTGGAGCCGGGTGAGTGGCATATCCCAGTGTCCCAGCTCCCTCAGAACGGCCTGAAGGTCATGGGGACATTGTGCCTGTGGTGACCCAAGACAAAATTTGTCATATACAGGCTGTAAAACCCCAGTTTCTTATTCAAGCCCTCCTTACAGTGTAGAAGAGGGGCAGAGGCATGACATGTGGCAGCATATTGTGCAGGAACCAAGCTTTGGGTCATGGAGTGGCATGTCCCAGCACCTTCAGCAAAATCTGATGGTTGTGGGGACGGGTCACTTGGGGAGACCTGAATGACACATTACACTTCCGGTCAGACACATCCCAGCTCCTTGAGTATGGAATGAATGCAGAATTGGCTTGTAATTTAAATTTTGACCACAGAAATGTGACGCAATGAGATTGTATAAGACCCCATGCTGATGTATTTTAACTAGTTTTGACCTTGCAATAAGGGCCTGGGAACCACACATCAGGAGCTGGGGATAAGGAACCAGCTTATCCTCCTGCTTCGCGGCGCCCTCGGCCAGAAGAGGGGCCAGCAGCCCCCCAGCAAAGCACCCCGAAGCCGGGCGCGGCGGCGGGAGGCAAGGAGCCGGGCGGATATGTAGCGGTTCACGGCTGGGTTACGGTCCCGGAGCCGCTGAAAAGGCCCGGGAGAGCAGGCGCATTGGGAGCGTGACTAGCACCCGCGTCCTCTGATTACTGCCGGCAGGTCAGATGGGCTCTGGCCGCCGGGCACAGGGGCCGCCGGGGACAATGGCCGCTCAGAGGAGCCTGCCCAGCTGACAGCCCCGAGGACGTCACCTGCCGAGCGCGGGAAATAGCCGTGGAGAGGCAGCGGGGATAAATAGAGGCCGGCAACCCCAGGCGCTACCCGGCGCCTCCCCGCGGCCAGCCCCGCAGCATGGCGTGCCCGGCGGCCGGCGAGGAGCTGCCGCGCCCCTGCTGCTGCAATGGCTACAGCGAGCTGCCGTCGGCCGAGGCGCGCCGGGCCCTGGTGCAGTACGGCCCGGAGAAGCGCGGCCGGGAGGGCGGCGAGCTGCCGGCCTTGGAGGACGCCTACCTGAGCATCCTGCAGCGCCTGGGCGAGAACCCTGCCAGGCAGGGGCTGCTCCTGACGCCCAGGAGGGCTGCCAAAGCCATGCAGTTCCTCACGAAAGGCTACCAAGAAACCATCGAGGGTGAGTCCTGCTGGCCGGCCTGGCTGTGACGGTTTTGGGGGTTGGACTAGGTAAGGTGAGCAGATGTCCCGATTTTATAGGGACAGCCCTGATGTTGGGGTCTTTTTCTTATATAGGCTCCTATTGCCCCTGTCCTGATTTTTCACACTTGCTGTCTGGTCACCCTAGGACTCGATGGCCTCCGGAGCGAGGTCTCTTCCAACCCTAATCTTCTGTGAGCCTATGAAGGGGAACCTGCAAGCGCCCCTGGTCTCTGCCGGCCTGCTCATGGAAACCAAAGTGCCCTGAGCCCAGATGGCCTTTCACCAAGTGGGACCCTCAGCTGGACCCTTTCCTCTCCTCTCAGCTGCTGCTTCATTGCCTTCCACCCGTCCTCCAGAGACAAGGGGGTGGGGGTATAGCTTGTATTGGACTCATGGCTGGGGGTGAGAGCTACACCAAGTGCCCCTTCCGGGCTGGGAAACTGACTCAGTGGGTCACAGCTCACCACAAGGTGGCACAGAGTGGTTAGGGTAAAGGTTTTGTTGAGCAAAAGGTTAGTGGTTAGGGTTTTGTTGAGCAAAAGACACATTAATCATACCGATCACATTAATCATACATTTCACAGGGATCACTCAAGGTGAAGTGGCCTGTTAACATCCCTCCAGTCATAAGGGGGAAAGGGAGGGGAAAAGGCGGTGGGGGGTAGTGGGTTACAGATTGTTGTAATAAGCCATAAATCCAGTCTGTCTATAGCTGATCCCTTAGTCCTCATACTCAAAGGAAACCTGCACAACACTTTTGAAAAAGGAGCCTGGCAGCTTAAATTCATAACTCTGTTAGACACTAAAAGTCAGAGACTGAATAGAGACACTGGATTTATGGCTTGTTACAGCAATCTGTAATCCACTAATAGCGCCTCGCCCCCAGGTGCTTCCCTCAACTGGAGGGTTAAAGACCACTTCACTTTGACAGGCCCCTTGAAATACATTTTAACTACTTCTGCTAAACAATCTCTTCCACCTTGTATGTAGCTGTGGCAGTGTGAATAAGATTCCCAGACCTGAAGAAGAGCTCTGTGTAAGCTCCAAAGCTTGTCTCTCTCACCAAGAGAAGTGGGTCCAATGAAAGATGTTACCTCACCCACCTTATCTCTCTGATATCCTGGCGCTACAATCACACATCATTTTTCACTTCACTAAGGGGGCAGATTCTCACATTCCTGGAAGGTGCTCTATGGCTTTCAGTTCTTGCATTTAACAGCCTTCACCTCTATAAACCTTCAAAACCCTTCCCAGTCTCTCAAACTTGACTGTATGAAATGTTCTATCAGTGAAATGGGGGAATTAAAAACAGGGAAACTTCTCCATTTTACTCCCCAGCTTCAGGGTGATAATCATATGTATAAGTGCCATGGGGAGGGGGGGAAGTGGGAAGTAATTTTCAAATAAATGAATCTAAACACAGTCAGATGCATTACTCATAGAAAACTAATTTGCCATTTTGTGCTATGTTTGTACAGCGCTTAGCACAATGGGGTCCTGGTCCAGGACTGATGCTCCTTTGCACTACTGCGATACAAACAACAGGAAACAAGAATTTCAGCTTGAGCATCAGTTAAAAAAGAGGGAGGGGGAAGGCAAGTGGCAGCAGGCTCGAGGGTTGTGTATTAATTATTCCTGGAGGTATACTAATAAAGTTTAAACTTAAATAGTATCTTTGTTACCTTAAATTTGTAAAATAAGGCCCTGAGCCTGCAAACATTTTGGGGGGGACATGCAATTAAGTTTAATGTTACTATTTGCAGAAGTGAAATTATGCAAACACTTATATTTAGGAGTAAGAATCAATTGCAATTTTACCTTTCAGAGATTTTTATCTTAATCTTCTTTTTTCACTGTTGGCATTTATAGTAGTTACATTTCCCCACATTTTGTAGTTTTCTGGTTCTCTATTCTGTATCTTAATATCCGCAATAGGAGCTGGTCTCTGTGATGACAAATTTTTCTCATCTTCAATGTTTAGACTTTTCTTTCAAATTAATTTAAACAAATAAGGCTTTGCAGCTTCTGAAGTACAGATTTGATAAAGAATGTATGTACTAGGGACCCATTGTCTCCAAACAGATAAAATTCTATACTAGTTTATTAGGAAATAAGCTCATATACACCTTAACAATGGGTGCTGGCCTCTCTCTTTATAGGCATGCGCTGTGATCAATGCTCCCTTCACCCTGCCTGTGACTGGGAGCATTCAGTAGGCCCCCAAAAGTAAGAACCGCATAAAAAGAAGTTTAGCACTGCTTGGCAGGGCTGAAGTACATTAGATGACACCTGTGTATCAAGTTACTTATATGCATGTAAGATGGGGTGTGTGAGTTGAATGTAGGAGTCTACCTGTACTTAAAACTGATTTTTTAAAAATATACTGTCAGTTCTATACAACCATTGAATATCAGCTAAGAATATGTCCATATTTAAACTATTTTTAAAAGGTTTGGGGTTGTGCTTTTCTCTCTCACATCAGATTTTGTTTTGTGCTTAGAAAAGTACTTACCAATTGCAGTACATGCATAATGCTATTTAGGATAGAATCCTGTGTAGGATCTTTCATTAACTGCTCATCTTGTCCTTTCAGATATACTCAATGATGCAATCTTTGATGAAGATCATAATGAAATGGTTATCATTAAGGATATTGATATGTTTTCCCTTTGTGAGCACCACTTGGTACCCTTCTTTGGCAAGGTAGTTATCCATCTGCCTTATAGCAAATATTTGTCATTCAGAGGTCTTGGGTGTTCTACTGAATAAAGGGAAATAAAATGTGTTTTGAAAAACTAGGGTGAGTTCTTGCTCATAGCCAGTGTAGTCCTGTAGAATTCAGAATAATCATTCTTAGGAAGAGTTTTAAAACATGAAAACTATGATGTGGGCATTTTGAGGTGATAAGTAGAGGATTTATTTTGTGGACTAACTGCATCTGCAATATGAAGCATATTAGCGACAGGAAATAAGAGCCATATTTTCTACAATATGGTAATAGGAAATTGATTACCCTCGGAGAGGCTCCTCAGCAGGCTCCTAGAAATCCGTTTGCTGCGGGAAAAACATTTTTACAGAGACTCTTTAGTTTTTACATTTTGTGGAAAACTAAAAATGTATTAACTAGTAACTAAATTTTACTGAAAGTACCAGTGTCACTTATTCAGTGCATGCAACCTCCCCTCTTGTGGTTGATTTTTTTGAATGCATTTTAAATCTACATAGCTAAACATCCCCAATAAACTGCTTCTGGTGTATACAAGTTACTCAACGGCATAAAGGGGTTCATGTTTTAATGCATCTCAAATTTAACATAAGAACAGCCATACTGGGTTAGACCAAAAGTCCATTTAGCCCAGTATTCTGTCTTGACTGTGGCCAATACCAGATGCTCAGGAGGGAATGGACAGAACAGATAATCAATTGATCCATCTCCCGTCACCCATTCCCAGCTTCTGGCAAACAGGCAAAGGACAACATCCCTTCCTTTCCTGGCTAATAGCCATTGATGGACCTATCTTCCCTGAACTTACCCTAGTTATAGTCTTGGCCTTCAGAACATCCTCTGGCAAGGAGTTCCAGATTGACCCTGAGTTGTGTGGGGAAAAAATACTTCCTTCCTGCTGCCTATTAATTTCATTTGGTGACTCCTAGTTCTTGTGTTATGAGGAGTAAATAACACTTATTTACTTTCTCTACACTACTCATGATTTTATAGACCTCGATCATATCCTGCCCACCCCCCCGTTGTGGTTTTTTTTTTTTTCCAAGGTGAAAAGTCCCAGTCTTATTGATCTCTCCTCATATGGAAACCGTTCCATACCCCTAATCATTTTTGTTGCCCTTTTCTGAACCTTTTCCAATTCCAATGTATCTTTTTTGAGATGGGATGACTACATCTGCACACAGTATTCAAGATGTGGGCATACTATGGATTTATATAGAGGCAATATGATATTTTCTGTCGTCTTATCTAGCCCTTTCTTAATGATTCCCAACATTCCGTTTGCTTTCTTGACTGCTGCTACACATTGAGTGGACGTTTTCAGAGAACTAGCCACAACGATTCCAAGATCTTTCTTGAGTGGTAACAGCTAATTTATATCCCCTCATTTTTTATGTATAGCTGGGATTATTTACCTCTCTATTCTGAAAACTGACCATTTATTCCTACCCTTTGTTTCCTATTTTTTAACCAGTTACCAATCCATGAGAGGATCTTCCCTCTTATCCCATGACAGCTTACTTTGCTCAAGAGCCTTTGGTGAGGGACCTTGTCAAAGGCTTTCTGAAAATCTAAGTACGCTGTATCCATTGGATGCCCCTGGCCCACATGAGGCGATGAACAAGCAAAGAATTCTAGTAGATTGATGAGACATTATTTCCCTTTACAAAAACCACGCTGACTCTTCCCCAACAGATTATCTTCATCTATGTCTCTATGGCAATTTTGCTCTTTACTATAGCTTCAACCAGTTTGCCCGGTATTGAAGTCAGGCTTACCAGCCTGCGATTGCAGGGATCACCTCTGGAGCCTGTTTTAAAAATTGGCGTCACATTAGCTGTCCCCCAGTCATTTGGTACAGAAGCTGATTTAAATGGTAGGTTACAAACTACAATTAGTAGTTCTGCAATTTCACATTTGAGTTCCTTCAGAACTCTTGGGTGAATACCACCTGATCCTGGGGACTTATTACTGTTTAGTTTATCAGGTTGTTCCAAAACCTCCTCTAATGACACCTCAATCTGAGACAATTCCTCAGATTTGTCACCTAAAAAGAATGGCTCAGATTTGGCAATCTCTCTCACATCCTCAGCCATGAAGACCGATGCAAAGAATTCATTTAGTTTCTCCGCAATGGGCTGATCATCCTTGAATGTTCCTTTAGCATCTCGATCGTCCAGTGGCCCCACTGGTTGTTTAGCAGTCTTCCTGCTTCTGATGTACTTTTAAAAAAAATTGCTATTACTTTTTGAGTCTTTGTCTAGCTGTTCTTCAAATTCTTTTTTGGCCTTCCTAACTACATTTCTACACTTCATTTGCCAGTGTATGCTCCTTTCTATTTTCCTCACTAGGATTTAACTTCCACTTTTTAAAGGATGCCTTTTTGTCTCTCACTGCTTCTTTAACTTTGTTTAGCCACAGTGGCACTTCTGGTTCTCTTACTATTTTGTTTTTTTAAAATTTGGGGTATACATTTAAGTTGAGCCTCTATTATAGTGTCTTTAAAAAGTTTCCATGCAGCTTGCAGGGAATTTCACTTTTGGCATTGTACCTTTTAATTTCTGTTTAACTTTTTATGAAGTCCCCATTTCTGAAATTAAATGCAAGAGTGTTGGGCTACTGTGATGTTTTCCCCACCACAAGGATGTTAACTTTAATTATATTTTGGTCACTATTACCAAGAAGTCTAGCTGTAGTCACCTTTTGGACCAGATCCTGAGCTCTACTTAGGACTAAATCAAGAATTGCCTCTCCTTGTGTGGGTTCCAGGACTAGCTACTCCAAGAAGCAGTCATTTAAGGTGTCAAGAAACTTTATCTCTGCATCCCGTCCTGAGGTGACGTGCTCTTAATCAATATGGGGATAGCTGAAATCCCCCATTCTTATTGAGTTCACTTTAGCCTCCAGCCGTGAGTAATTGAAGTTATGAAAATATGCCAAAAAGCTTTAAAAATCACCCCTAAAGCCCATGTCACTAAGTTTGGCAAGGACAAATTTCATGTTAATGGTAATGTGCTGTTCTGTACTGTATGCAGCAAGGCTGTAGATTACAGGCAGACAATTTTAGAACACATGGAAAGCACTAAACAAACAATGAAAAGAAGAGGTTGAAACAGCAGGGAGGGCCATCAACAACAATAAAGAAACAATACACTGTGACTGGAAGATTTTATGATTGGTGATGCTGGTAGAATTGGAACTTGCTTTAAAATTGTAAATATATCAATAAAACGTTGTGTTCAGGTGATACCTATATATATTGTAGCTAGGGGAACTAAAGTGCAACATTTCATTTTAATTGTGGAAAAACACAGGTCTCTTTTTTTTTTTTTTTTTTTAAATCTGAGAATTTTGGATTTTTTTTATCATGGAAAACTAGGATTCCTGCCCCTTGCACCCACTAAATATCCACTGAAGCCAATTTGTGAGCAGGGCTTTGCCTGCATAGATATGTGATCAAGCTTGTCTGAGTATGGGCAGAGAAATTTTCCCTGAAGTCTCTTCCAAACACAACTTAAACTCCTTAAAAGTGATTGCACTCAGCATCCCAAACTGGCAGTCATTGTACAACCAAAGCTCCCAATGCACGGGTCTGCTAGAATGAAGATTGATTAAACAAATAGTTCCATGTATCTTACTCCTGCTTCTTCCCAGCTCCATCTTCGTCCCTTCCACATTGCTTTTTCTCCTGTAACAGCCTCCTTTCCTTTCTCCAGCTTCACTCTCTCTCTCTCTCGCTCAATAAACCTCCTCTCCTACTTGCCTCTTTCCCTTCTTGTGCCTCTCTGACACTTTTTCCATGAAGACTGATAATTCTTGAGAGCTCAAACTGTTTGGAATATACAACAATATGAACTGTCTTCTTCCTTACCAATAAATCTACTTGCTCTACATATGCCCATAAGCTACACAGCATCTGTACATAAGCACCTTCTCCCTCTACTACATGGTGCAGGTCTGACTTCACAGGGCACTTTGTCTGCATTAAGGATCCAGTCCTGATTCCATTAAAAGCTGCACTGAAACTCCCATTGACATCACTAGAGGAAAGATCAGGCCTGAAGCCAGCAGGTTTAGGTTCTGGGAGCCCTGATCCTGCAATTTCCACTGGAGTGGACAGACTGCTATGAATGTGGAGACCCATTGACTAGGCTAGAGCTTCTCAGACACAGCCATCTGACTGTGCGTTGTACACTGCACCTCAGAGCCCTGAGTTTATTCAGACCTTCAACTTTCCTGCAGAATCAGGTGTGTAGTAACCATTCAGCACTTAGACTCCTGTTCATATTTGCAGGTACATATTGGATATTTACCTATAAAGAAAGTGGTTGGACTAAGCAAGCTTGCAAGGTAAGTGCATCTATGCAATGTGATAGTGAAGGTGTAAAGGCGAAATCCTGTTCTCAGTGCACAGCCCAATTGAGGATGCCATGTACTGGGATGCTCTGCAGAGGGAAAGGGACAAGAATACTTCCCCTGAGATGTATGATAGCAACAAAGTTATTGCTCCAGAGGCACTACTGAGGCTTTAAGGCTGCAGTAAGCCCTGGGGCTCCTTTGGTCTGGTGGGTCTGCAGTAGCAGAGCCCTTGTTCCCACTTGCTCTGCACACTGGCGTGCATGGAGTCTACTGTGGAGCTGCTGCAGAGGGATGTGGAACTCCTGTATGGCATTCTGATCTCCCTTTCACAGTGGTGTGGGGTCCTCTATGGCTCCAGGGGGCAGGATTTTCCACTGTTCGTGTAAGCCAATAACCAGGATTATGAAGGTGAGCTGAGAAGGACCGAGAATTTGGATTTCCTCACTGTGATTCTTAAGGATGACTTCTCATAAGAGAAACTGCATAAATGTTTGTGGCTGATATAAACCTTTTATCCCATAATTGTGCCGAATTTGTAATGTCCCCCAACCACTGAGACCCCTCAATCTGTGCATACAGAGCACTCCATCACCTGCTAACAGAAGGGGGCTAGTGGGAGAGCATTTCTTTGAGGGATCATCAGTTTTGGTACTGGCTCCCCACTTTGGACTGAAATAGCCTTGCTGTGTCAGCTTTGTGGGCATGCTGCAGTGCTTGGGTATTGCCTCTCAGGAAGGAGGGGCTTGACCGTGTCTAAGGACTTACGTGAATAGTTCAGCTAAGTGAATGGCTGGCAGTTTTATGTTTATTGGCAGCTGCTGCAAATGGTGCTGCCTTCGCTTTTGGATTTAATTTATTTGTTTTGTTAGCATATATCAGAGTTGCCTGCAGTTTTCAGCTATGTGCCTCTTTTTTTTTTTTCCCATAGGAACATTTTTTTTATAAATGAAATTTACTTTTCTACTCAACAGGCTGAGTTTAAGTAAAAGTTGATGGCCTATACATCTTAAAAGAACAGTCCCGATGTCAATAGCAGCCTATAATTAAGTATCTAGTAGTAGCCCTGTTATAGTCTTCTGCATTCTGAGCACCAGCGTGTTAATGGTCAATCAGAGGCTGCTTTACAAATGTGACACATAGGTTGATAATCCACAGACTGAAAACAGATTATAATGTGGTTAAATAAGATCTTTTTGAGGGAGTACTTAATTATTTTTTAAAAATATGCTTTCTCTAAGGGATTCTAAATCCATTTATAAGGTACTTGGGTTAAAATAAGTGGTATAAAGTAGAATATATTAATACTCAATATATAAGGTCTTCTAAAATAGACTGAATATCAGCTGTATGTAAATCACATTACATACTGTAATGTAAAATCACTTGTATTACAATATATTTATTTAGCCTTCTAAATAGCCAGGATAAAATCCTACTCTAACACCTGTGATACCCAGAGAGTCTATTAAGTTCAACTGAAATTTTGTGTTTAAATCAGGAGGAAATATTTATTATTCTTACATTTTTCCCCCCCCAGAATTGTTGAAATCTTTAGTCGAAGACTGCAAGGTGTGTATCCTTTCTACAATATCTCTATTCTGCTAAACTATATTTCAGCTAGATGATGCTCAACTGAAGAAAGTATTTAAGCGTATGCCTAACTTTAATTGACACTACTTCTATTGAAGTAAATGTATTTAAGGTTAGGCATAGGCCTAAGTACTCTCCTGAACTTGGACCATAATCAGTGTGGCATATTTGTTAAAGTTGTCAAGGGACCAAGCAGAAAACATCCAACTAAAGCAGCCTGATTCTACACCTTAACAGTCTATTGCCTTTATTGGAAGCTTGAGGTGTTGATCAGTGAGGTTCTGGACTCAGGAATAAACAGCTGGGTCGGTATAATGGGGAAGGTATTCATATAAAATAAGAAGTGTGTTGGGTTCTCTTTTCTGAAAGAATGAGGAAGTGTACTCAGTGCATAAAGAACAGGAGTACTTGTTCTCTTTGCAGATACAGACTAACATGGCTGCTACTCTGATACTCAGGTGCATAGGCCACCCCTGATAAGTAGCCAAGAAGGACAGCAGTCACTGAAGTGTGGGGAAAACTGATTTTGGATAATGTATTTCACAGGGTGTAAGGGTGGTTTTGTTAACTATTAAAAATTCTGCGGGCAGTCAAGGTGGATAAATATCTGCTCACTGGATGAACAGATTTCAGGGCTCCGAAGGTGTCATTCCAGCACTTTTTACAAACACTAAAGTCACATTGAAAAAATAATTTAAAAAACCATTTCTAGCATAGGGGCTCATTTTACTTTAGTTAGCTAGTGGGAGAATTTGAGGGACTGTATTTAGAGCACCTTAGGAATGTATTTTCTTTAAGAATTTGCAAGGAGTACCAAGAGTGGCAATTACATATAGAAAAATCATACTGTTCTCTTTTCAGTTCAAGAGAGGCTTACCAGACAGATCGCTCTGGCAATTACTGAGGCTCTGAAACCTGCCGGGGTGGCTGTGATTGTAGAAGCGTCGTAAGTAATTCATTATTGTTAGTCTCATTAAAGTCAACCTCTGAGAACAGTTACCACACCACAGTATCTGAGATGTCATTGTTACCTAAACAGACTTGGGAGAGTTGTGTTTCAGTTCCTTCCACAGACTTCCTATAGGACCTTAGACAAGTCATTTAATCTCTATAGCTCAGTTCCCCATCTGTAACATGAGGATCCTAATATCACTGCTCTTCACTGGGCACATCAGGATGCATTCACTAATAACCCTGAGGTATTCAGATGCCATGGTGATGGGGCCATTTAAGTACCTGGATAGATAACTTCTGAGTATAGAGAAATATTACAGTACTTCAGATACTAGCTTATGAGAAATGGTGACCTCTGTCGATATCTGCCTTTCTCACACACTCCAACAATTGCTGCAGGGTATATATGGGTAATTTGGCTTGAACAGCCAATGTAAAGTGAAAGTGACTAAAAGTGGGCTATAAAGATTTTGGCATATATTGCACTGTGTCACTTTGTGTGCTCAAATTTGGTACAAGTCTTAGTAGTTGTGGATGCTGATGGTTAGTCATTTGCACAGTTACAGACATGTATGTGTACATTTTTTTTCAGGCTTACCCCAAAACTTGTCCAAGTGTATTCTAACAACATGTGGACCAGTCACATCTGGCACCAATACATTTAGGATATGTGTACCCTGCAATTAAACACCTGTGATTGGCCCATGTCAGCTGACTCAGGCCTGTGGGGCTTGGGCTAAGGGGCTGTTTAATGGCAGAGTAGACATTTGGGCTTGGACTGGAGCACAAGCTCTGGGATCCTCACCCCACATGGGGTCCCTAGCCAAAACATCTACACTGCAGTTTTACAGTCCCGTAGCCCTAGGCCCATGAGCCTGAGTCAGCTCACACGGGCTGGCCATGGGTGTTTAATTGTAGGGTAGACATACCTTTTATTGGCCTGGTTTGTGCTGTTCTGCAAGGCAAAAGTGGTGAATGTAGACTGAATAGTTCAAACATGATCTGCTTAAGCTTCCTGTCAATATTTATTCATTTATTTCAACTTCAGTCAACAAGTATGGTTGTAAACAAACAACCCCCCTCACTAAATGTTTTGAATTACTACAACATTTAAAGAAAATAGAATTCAAGAATGATTCTCCTATCAATAGTTCTGAGTGAACTGGTAGCTCCCAATAATATCTGGACATGCTTTAACGAATCAAAGGCACTACTTGGTACACAGTGTGTTGCTGATTATCAAAATGGTAATTAGATCCAATTATCTCAGTGTGCAGGTTAACAACATATTAAACTGAAGGTTGGCTATTTAACTAATTACCTTCTAGGCACATGTGCATGGTTATGCGAGGGGTTCAGAAAATGAACAGTAAGACTATCACCAGCACCATGCTCGGAGTCTTGCGAGAAGATCCAAAAGCCAGAGAAGAATTTCTTACGCTGATCAAGAATTAAATGGAAACGGCTTCCCACTCACTGGTTGTTGGCTCTAACAGTAAAACCAATTGCCAGAAATTAATTACCATGTGTGATGCAGGACTGTCTGTAGCGTCTGTGTATTAGAAATAGCTGTGTGACAGCTTGGTTCTCACTAATGCCTCGTAATGTCATAAAATATTTGGTAGAGAATGAATATGCCTCAATCAGAATTACTGAACTGAAAAGAGATTAGCTGTTTCCCAATGCTAACCATAGAGTGCTATGAAAACATGTTGCTAGATGGGAGCTAAAACAAGCCACCCCTTCTCCCCCTCCCCCCCCCCCCCAAAAAAAAAACAACAACAAAAAACAAGCAGCCACAGGAAGGTGAAATTAAGCACAAAATCCTGTGGCCTTTATCACTCAATCTTCAGCCCCTTTGTGCTCCTTGTATTAGACAAAGGGGTCAGAAACCCAACAGATCTCCCCAACTGGAGATTCATCTGGTGTAAGGGGATGTCTAGGAGGCATAAAACTGTTGAATCTTATCCTACACCATCCTCTTCTGGCCCCCAGGGTAGGGGGCATGAGAGAAAAATTGCAGGATGGGAAGGGGCATGACCACTGTGCTCCACCAATTCCTATCTGGTGAATGGTCTTTGGGGGCCATAGCCAGCTGGGTGTAGCATGGAGTAGTAGAGCTCAAGGCCAGGCTGATTCCCCACAGCCACCATTAGGAATATGAATGGGAGTCCCCATGGATGTGCCTGGAGGTGACAGTGTGGAAAATGGCACTTCTCTAGCTCTGCCTCTTTCCTGCCCAGCTAAGCTCCCCTGAGCTGAACCAGTCTCCCAGAAGGCCTAGGTTTGTCATTGCCACACAATAGTGCTTCATTAGATCTTAGTGACCCATTAGTGCTCCAGCAGATTTTTTCAATATATGCATAATATCCCAACACCTCTCACCCATCACAAAGATCTGTTTATGGCTAAGTCCCAGTCCAGCTCACTCTTAACCTTGCTTTGATCCCTTCTGAAGAAAAAGCAGGAGATGATATGGCACTAGGATTGTTCTTTAAGGTCATGATACAAATTTTTGATACCATAATCTGAGTCCAGAATTGTCTCTGGGATTGAGTAGTTTTTCAGATCCCCATGCATAGATAAAAGATCAGCTCTTTTTTTAAACTGCAATGTATGTATAATGTTGGAGAGCTGAATTCTTATAAAGGCTTGTTATTAACCCTCCAACAGAACTGACATTTGTTTTGATAGTAAGCCTCAGCATTACTAAACCAGTCAGAACAAAGATGTAGCTATGGAATTTCCTCCTGGAGATCATAAATATAGAACACTAGAGGGCCATATTCTGCTATCCTTACAGTGCAGTTAGTCCCTTTCATTTCAATGAGACAACTCGTGGAGTGAGGCATTGCTACTCAACCTGAGTAGAGTTAGCAGAGTATGGCCATAACAGAGTTTCAAATAAAGGTTTGTTTTCTTTAAATGCTTTGTCCCCTATCTGACTGATGCTTGATTTTTAATATCTACTCCTCAGTGTTAGAACAATATCATTTTACAGACACTTAAGACCCTTCGTTTTCAGTTTAAGCTGATTTTTACCAAAAAAATCCTGGGTTTTACAAAAAGTATTGGTTTTCTGGTTTTCACCCTACTTTTGTATCATTTGAATTTTATATTATATATGAGTATATATAAAATAAATAAAACAACCTGGTTATTAGGAAAATACATTTCATGAGATATATGTATTACACACCGACTAATGTATTCTTGTATGTGCAAAGCTGCCTGTTGAAGTAAGGCTCTGTATTAGTTTAAAAGATACACACAAACAAACAGGCATGCACGCAAGCTCTGAAGCACATGTGTATGTGAACATACTGATGAATCTCATGGCATAAACATTTCAAGCTGTTAGCAGACAACAGTTTAAAGATTTGATGCTAAAATGGGAAGAAAATGAAAATTCACCAAAATAAACCCCAGTATTTACCCAGAAAAATTAAGGGTTTTTGCTCTGATTTTCAGCTGTTTTTGTTGTAGTAAAACACTGAAATTCCTGGGAAAAATTAAATAAAATAAAAAACAAAAAGGACCCTACTGATGCTGTATTTTTCAAGCAAATGTATTTTTAGGATATACACACAGATGTATCTCAATGTACTAGAATGATATCTTACTATCCATATGCCAAATCAGTTTGAGAATCTGCCTTAATCTTTGGTAAAATGGGGGAACACATTAATTTACTGCTAACATTTACTCAGACGCTTACTGCTTTTAAACTGGTAAATACTGGTTTTATAAATGAAATGTTCAATAGAGAAACATTTTGCAGCTCATTTGATTCAAAGGTAAATGTTGAACAGTCTTAGAGAAGAAGGTTTTCTATCAATAAGAGCTGCATAACAGTGTTCAATAGTGGTGCTAAAATACATATACAAGTTTTGTGGAAATTGCATTAATGCATTTTCAAAAAAGTTTTGAAGCATAGATATGCATATTATTAGCCTTTTGCTTTGTTACATGGGGATTGTGGGGCAAACTCTTTTGTGTGTCCTATTCTCACATACGCAGTGTTGTTGTAGCTGTGTTGGATCAGGAAATTTAGACCTGTGCAAGCTTGCCTCTCACCAGCAGAAGATGGTCCAGTAAAAGATATTACCTCCTCCATCTTCTCTCTTTCTTCTCACATATATCAGACATGTTGTTTTTAGGGCTGTCAATTAATCACAGTTAATTCTAGCGATTAACTCAAAACAAATTAACTCGATTAAAAATTGCAATTAATTGCACTGTTAAACAATAATAGAATACTAATTTAAAAATTATAAATTGATTTCAATTACAACACAGTGGACAGTGCTCACTTTATATTGTTTAAATATTTGCACCATAATAATAAACAAAAGAAATAGTATTTTTAAATTCACCGCAGATGAGTACTGCAGTGCAATCTCTTTATTGTGGAAGTGCAACTTACAAATGTAGATTTGTTTGTTTGTTACATAACTGCACTCAAAAATAAAGTCCATTCAGTCCTTCTTCTTGTTCAGCCAATCACTAAGACAAACATGTTTGTTGACATTTACGGGGTCCTACCTGTAATGCACTTTCATGATAAAAAGATTGCCCTACAGTACTTGTAAAAGGTTATTTGAAAAATATGATTTCCTTTGTTTATCTTTTTTACAGTGTAAATATTTGTAATAAAGTGAGCACTATACACTTTATTCTGTGTAATAATTGAAATCAATATATTTGAAAATTTAGAAACTATCCAAAAATATTTAAATAAATGCTATTCTGTTGTTTAATGGTGTGATTAATCATGAGATTTAAAAAATTACAATTACTTGCAGTTTTAATCATGATTTTTTTAATAGTTTGACAGCCCTAGTTATTTTGCATTAACAGAAGGCAAAGACATGTTTGTCTAGCAATCTAGGAGCCATGAATTTTCCATGAGTTTTAATCCCAAAGGAAGATAACTTCCTTTGTAGCCTTGGACAAGTCACTCTGCCTCAGGTTCCCTTTCTGTAAAATGGATTGAATGCTACCTTGCAGGGGCGTTGTCAGGCTAAGTTAATGTTTGCAAAGTGCTCTGAAGATGAAAATAGTCAGTGCTGAGTGTTACTGTTATGCTCTGCTCCCTCAATTTGAGCCCTGATTTTACATTACACATAGAACAGAAAAACAGGAAACAAAATGCAGCTAGTGCACCCAGTAATGTAGGATGGAAATTTAAAAAAACCAAACACACACCTCAAATCCAGCAGTGTGTGGTATTTATGCTAAAATATGAGTAACCCATAAATTCAGATCCAAATGATCCTGCAATATTGTGGTCTACATTTCAAATGATCTGATACTTTTAAAATATTTTCATAAATACAGAAGCCTAATGATTACCCCCTTTAAATACACAGGCCCCCAATTCCATGGTTTTGAAGGCTATCACCTTCATCTAATCTTTCCAGAGATCAAAATGAAGTGGGAAATTAACACAGGGGTTTTTAAATGATTTTATGTACTTTATAACATTAGTATGTTTTGGTTTTTAACCTGACCTCAGTAGCCAAAATATGTTTTCAATTTTATAATGTATGTAACATTTTTTAAAAAGATATATATACACTTCATCTACCATAATGCTGAGTTGTCTACTTCTTTTCTGTGCAGCTATCACTGTCTTAGTCAAAGCCCAGTGTTAACACGTGTGTTTCTCAGCCAGCTGCCGAGGAAGCAGTGATAATGAAAAATTTGGATTTGATTAAAAGGAGCAAAGCAGAGTACTATAAGGCTAAGATTTTGTCATGGTGATTTTTAGTAAAAGTCACGGGCAATAAACAAAAATTCAAGGAAGCCATGATCTGCCTGTGATTTTTGCTGCTTTGGCTCCATGGTTTCTCCTGCCACTATAGTGGCTGGGAACTGTGGGGTTCCCCCTCTGCCTGTAGCAGCTGGAAGCTGCAATGCCCCCCCCCCTCTGCCCACAGCAACTTGGAGCTGCAGGGTGACCATATTCCCCAGGTGCTCACCCAAGGTGCACACTCTTCTCCCCTCCACTCCCCAGTGAGGCTGTTGCTTGTCACTACAGCCCTGAAGAGGGCCCCCTCAGGAGGCTGTCACATGTCGCTGGAACCCTGCCAGGACCCTGCTGGCTGCGAGGGAGTCACACAGCCCCTGGGGCTGAAGCAGATATTACTGATTCAGTGACTTTCATGACCTCTGTGACATAAACATAACCTTAACTATAAGCAATATGACAAGAGTGCAGCCTCTCACAATACCCCTTATGGTGGCCTCACCTATGGGGAAAGGAGCTTCACAGTTTCACCCACCACAATTCCCCATACAGACCACCACTTGTAATGCCACACACTATCCGCAGTAGTCATCAAACCCAAGACCTCTGCACCTTAAAGTCTGAGCTAAAAGCCTCATCTCTGGTAACTCATGAGACCTTCTCTATGTGGCTCAGCCATCATTAGAGCCAAACACCACAGTGAATGCATGTGAGCTACACGTACACATTGAATAGGAAAGTTGGTGTAACAGGATGCTGCTCTTGGGGAGAGTGAGCAGTTGTTCATCAGCAGTGTCTGTGATCTCTCTGAGGGGTAGGCATGAACCAGCTTGAAAAAGGGCCACCCTACTGAAGCACTGCAATGAGTTAAAAATATCTCATGATGGGAGACATCACAAGCTGCTGACAAACTGAATGAAAGCAAAATGGACACTTTTTCTAGCTCTATCCATCACCAGGAGATAATTAGCCTTCAACAGGAAACTGTCTCTGTCCCATGCCCACCTCTGAAAGCCGACTGGTAGGGATTTAGGACAGTCTGTCTCCCAAACTTTGGAAACCTGAGCTCTTTTTCAATTATGCACCTTGCAGCCGTGACATGTGTCACTAGAGATCTATCCATGCCAATTTATACATCTTCCACACTTGCTCCGCCAACTAACCCTTCATACATTCCTGAGGGAGTGTGCACCACACATAACAAAGGAGATCAATCATCAGCATTTGCTAATGTGTTTTGATGAGAACTGATATAGTTAGCTATGTTGACATTTTATCATCCTATCTGAGCTAGCATGCATCGGGAGAATGGGGCAATTAGACCTCAGAGCTATTGTTTCATGCTCTCTATTGCTGAATTGGTAACACTCACTTTGTATTTTGAGGACTTTCTCTGCAACTGTAACAATTGCAGATGAACTTTAAACAAATAATAAAAGCTGAGACTCTGGCGAATAGCTGAGAGGTCTTTACTGTATACCCGATGGGGGAATGTCCTGTACTTTAGAAAACAATGATTTAGGAAACTAGTGGAAGCCAAGTGTTGTTGCAGCTGCCCTATCACCACTTTTTCAATAAAGTTCCATAAAAACAGAGGTTTGAGACAAGAGAGTAATTAGCAACAGTCCTTGGTTTTTATTCTATTTATTATTTTATCTTTTTATTCATCAAAATCATTACCACAGAGGGCCAGAGTCTGATACTGTAATGCTTTGGGGTTCAACCCAGACCCATAAGGGGTTGTATCACTGTCTGCCCTGTGACTCTGGCTGCCTTCAGTGCTATGCTACTGTGGCTCACAGTTTTGACACCAAAAGCTTGTAAACAAGCATGCAGGTCACAGGCTGGCTTCCACTGCCCAGTTACTTTCTGAAGAGTGACCCCAACTCCCTCCCAGTTCTAACTTTGCCCAAACTCATCTGCCAATGTGACAATCTGCTGAGGTTCCTAGAATTGTGAGCGACTATTTTACTCCTCTCAGCCTCAGCATGTGACAGCTCCCTGACAGAGCAACTTATTTGCCTGGCCAGCAAACTCTTCAGGACTCTGCCAGTCCAAACCTTGCCTTGTAGGTAACAGTGAACCTTAACACCTGAGTTTCCCAGAGATGTCTCCCTGCAGTGTCCAGCCCTCTCATGGAACACTCCCAGAAGTTAGTTGCTCCTTTAGAGAGAGAGTACACTGTAGCTCATTAATTTAACTGGGGTTTAACAAACATTCTTGTGTCAATCACAGCACTGCATTGGTTTATAGCAGGGGTAGCCAAATTTACTGGTCCTCCAAGCTGCATACGATAATCTTAAGAAGTTCAAGAGCTAGGCATGTCTGCAGGGCTCGGGGCTTCTGCCCTGCAGCAGGGTGGTGGGGCTCCGGGCTGAAGCCCTTAGACCCCTGTCCCCGTCTGATAGGCTGAGAATGGGCTGGGGGGGGGGGAGGGGACTCTCCACATGGGAGGGCCTGCGAGTCGCACTTTAACTGTAAAATAACCACATGTGGCCTGTGAGCTGTGGTTTGGCCACCCGTGGTTTATAATAAAAGTAAAACATTTATTTAACAAACAGGACAAGGCGATACCACGAGTAAGGAATAAAGA